GGTGGGGGGGGTGTGTGTGTGTGTGTGTGTGTGTGTGTGTGTGTGTTTGCGGGGGGGTTGAAACAGAGTCCCCATGCCTTGTGAGCCCAGCCTAGCTCCCCCCACCAAAGACCCTGCTTCCCCTCCCTCCCTCCCCCGCAGGGCAGGGAAGAGACTCTGTCTACTCTCTGGGACAGACCTGGGGGTGTGGCTGGGCTGGTGCTTGCCAGCTTGAGCATCAGCCCAGCCCTGCAAAAACCAGATGGGATGTGGGTGGAATCACCCAAAATTATCCCTCACGGGGAACCTGTACATGGGTTCCCTAAGGTGCGCTGCCTTAGAGCGCCCCATCTGATATTTCATCTGACAAGGATTAAATTTTCACATGATTGGCCATTTTAAAAGCACTCTTTGGCTGTGTACATTTGTTACATTACAGCTGTAGAGGCTTTCAGGGGCCTCACTGAACAAAAAATGTAACTTCTGTAAGTGCCCTTAATCAGCTCCCATCCACACAAAGCCATTTCAAGTAAACAAAGCTATCTCAACTAGAAATCCAAACAACGCAGACCAGTGAATGAAGCATCAATGAGGGCACAGTAACTCTCCAATGGTTTTGCTGTATGGCTGTTTTAAATTAAGTTAAACTAATTTGTGTGCTTAAAGATAGGTGTTGATCAACCAAATTATTTCTGCGATGAAACTATGCCCTTAATTATTGTCTTTCAAGAACCTGGAGGCAGGATACTTCTTTATATAAGTATTTATATATATTTGTTCCTAGCTTCCTGGACAGGTTTTTCCAGTCACACTTGCTTTCCTACTAGAGCCTTGGTGGACTTTCTGAAACCCAGATTTATGCACGTGCCTACACACACACACACTAAAGGAGATGTTTATGATTCAAGGCTAGGTGCTAAACAGAATATTACCTGCTATACCACAGAGATTGAGCTCCCCTCGGAAAAGTAAAATGTTATTGTAGTTTGTCCCCTGATAGGACTCTGGTGTGTGGTAGATGTGAAGAGGCAAGGATTTCTTTGGGTGATAACTTTTATTGGACCAATTGCATAGTTGGGATAGGGTTAGGTTAGACATGTTTTGAAAAGGACTCTTCCTGCATCGATACAGCTACAACATTACTCTAACACTACCATAAATGTGAAGGACTTTCTTTAGTGCTTGATACACTTGCACACAAATCCTGTAGCTCTTTGGCTTACAGGGACCCAACTGTTTTTTTCATAGCTAAACCTTGATTTAACCTCTGTTTGTTTCTCTCTCTCTCTCTCTCCAAGTAGGCTATGTATACAAGTAGGACCACATAAGTATATTTCTGGTCTCAGAAAGTCTGCTTAGCCATTGCTAAGTATTTTTTTAATCTTATGATTTTTGAAAGTATCTCATCATGTCTTGGGCCTGATTCATGATTATTAGGTCAGGCTATATCTGAAGTGCACTCTGGATTATAATATTGGATGTAAATATTGACATGTCGTCCTCCAAAAAAGCTTGGTGGATGAGATAGCAACTGACCCCATCAGTGGGAGTTGGGTACCAATGACTGTCTAGTTGATTATGAATTCCTTGTATTTTAATAAAACCTTGTAAGGAAGAGCTAATGTTTGTTGGCAACTTCCTGTGGCTCTTTTTGAAAATAAAAATAAAAATACCATTAGTAACAGGACAAATGTAACAAAAATTCTACATGCTTTCTTGCCAATACATCTTAATCTGAGCCTGCAGATAAGAGGGAAAATAAATCTTTCCTTTCCTCCTCAAAGTGAGTTTTCTCAGCTAACCCTCCTTCATCTGCTGTACAGAAGAAACATGAGGTTTGGATCAGGACAAGAGCTTCCTGTCATCATATAGTTGTAGTTTTCATTATGGAAATACCTGCTTGCAAGACCTGAGCCAGTAACTTGGGCCATTTTGTAGGAACTGCTAATATTTACCCAACCAACATTAAAGAAGTTCGTAGAGAGTGAGCGTGGCTAGTTTAAGAGAAGGCTAACTACCAATTTAAAACCAAAATCATTTGGTTGCTTTAAAATTTAACTATTATAAATTATGCCACCATTTTATAATGCCCTACCTGATGATAATCCGTTAGCTCCCCCTACTGTTGCTGGAACTGTATAAACCTGGGAACAAAAAAGAGCCAATGAAAGAGCAGTTGCTGTTAAGTGAAATATGTGGAATCATATATTTGACAGGTGAGGAGTGTGTATGGAAAGGGAATCCCTGAAAGGATAAGGAATGATGTATATTATTAATGTACCTTTAAAAAAGTAGGAATGCTTAACATCCAGATCCAATTTACTAATGAGATACAGAGCATTTCACCAATTGGAGGGCTAGTTTCATTCTCACCCTAGTTGCTAGTGGGGAAAAAAAAAAGCACGTGTAAATTAATGTTGTTCAGTGTTAATGAGCAGCTGCTGCATTCACAGACAGTGTAGTCACCAGCCAGAAACAAGCCCACAACCTTTAAGACAAAGATAGCCAGAGAATTGTTGCTTTAGTTGTGGGTGTTTAGAATTAGTCATTAGAAGGAATTGTGATCTTTCCTATTATGTATTTGAACTGTAGAAGTACATGAAGGCTCCTATTACAACTGATTTCCTTCTGTCTAGATAGGCAACAAAATCATCAAGAACTGTGTTTCCTGCTTTGGGGAGGTTGTGAGATACATAACCAGTTCAGTCTTTGCCACACAGCTCTGCCAGTGCCCCTCAATCACATCACACAAAAGTAATACTCAAGTTTAATTTACTGACCGTCTTGTTTCAAGCAAAATCTAAAAATCCCTCTATCAATGAGACTGCAATGTTAAAATAGCCATTGTACTGAACAAGAGGTTTTTAAACACTAAAGCATCTGCATTGGGTAATATATATAAATAGTATAAAAACACTTTTAAAAAAGCTCTAAAAATATATTAAAACTTTCCGATAATTTGCCGCACAAATGTGAAGAACTTTGGGATCTGATAGTATTAGTTTGGAAACAAAATAGTTTAAAGTTTTGAGGCTTTTAGAATCCTGACAAATTTGATTTGAAAATATTAGCAATTTTTGGCCTTATTAATTTGACTTCTCATCACATGGTTCTTCCTTGTTAGCTTTGCATTTTTCTCTGTGGATATACTACACATTTAAAAAGTATCCAAATAAATCTATTTTACGTCATTTATCCATTTTTTAAACTGGATTTATTTACTGACTTTTGTCAAGCAACTTACTGCTGCAACATACAGGAAAGCAGCTGAAATTAAATACTGATTGTGCCGTTGGCCAGTTATGTACTATCCAAAATTAGCTTCTATCTATATTTACCAAACAGTTGTGTTTCTTTAAAAATATTTGAAGTAACATTACAAGTATGCCTGATTTCAGAGTTTTCTGTCTATATGACTAGTGATGGTCTATTCTGTGTTAACACTGCAGGGCCTGGCCCTTCCAGTATAGCTTGGCACGAGTGTGTGCTATTTGATCAGGCTAGTAGAATCTATTTTAATTCAGCATGGTTTGTCCCACCCTCGTGCCTAGACCACGTAAGTTGTTCATGAGTTTGTGGATGATTCTTTCCCCCTGGGAAGGTCACTCAGCATAGGTGGCATGTATACCTTCTCCAAATATGGCAGTGATTCTCAAAAGGTATGCCTCGCACACTGGTGTGCCATGAGAACAGTGGAAGTGTGCCATGACAAATGGGTAGATGGGGCTCTAGCTGGGTCAGTCCTGTGAGATGGGGGCCCTGACTGTGCTAGCCTTGTGTGACAGGATGGGGCCCAGAGACTGGATCTGGTCTGTAGACTGGTGAGTGAAGTATACCACCAAATTTAATTCGGAAAAAAAATTGTGCTGAAATGAATCTAGAGGAACCAGCATTTATTGTGGGATGATGGTTGCCTAAAGAGGAATCTCAGAAAGATCCAAGGATCTCAGTGAGACTGAGAAAGCCCAAAGGCTTAGTCAAATGCACTAGTGCTTACCCAAAACAAACTGAACTATACAGACCTTTTGAAATTGCCCATTTCTTCTACACCA